ACTGCTCCCCCTCTTTCATGGTCTGTGCATACACACACATCCAGACACACACACACAAGACCACACTCGCACACACACCTGCCCCTCTTCTTTCATGGTCTGTGCGTACACACATCTAGAGACACACACACACACACACACACAGGCCCACTCTCGCACACACACCTGCTCCTCCTCTTTCATGGTCTCTGTGTGTACACATACATCCAGAGACACACACGCACACAGGCCCACTCTCGCACACACAAATGTAAAGCTAGCTTCCACATTTTCTGAGTCTGGCTAGTTTTACATAATGCAACAATCTCTGGTTTCATCCATTTTCCCACAAATATTACAACTGTATTCTTTGCAGCTGAACAGAATTCTCGGTGTATGTGCACCACATCTTCCCGATCCGTTTATCTGTTGATGACATCGTAGCTACTGTGGACAGAGAGCAACAGCATCCATGTGGACACTTCTCTGCATGGTGCTGACTTAAGAGTCCTGCTAGCACACACCCAGGATGGTAGAGCTAGGTCACATGGTAGTTCTTTTTTTTAAGATTTTTATTATATTTTCATTATGTGTATCTGTGTGTGGGTCCGTGCAGGCATGAGTGCAGGTGTCCATGGAGTACAGGACGGGGGACTGGATCCCCTAGAGCTGGATCACAGGTGGTTGTGAGCAGACATGCATGCTGAGAAACAAACTCAAGACTTCTGTAAGAGCAGTAAGTGTTCTCAACCACCGATCCATCACTCTAGCCTCTTTAAAAAATTTGTTGCATTGTATTTATTTTGTGGATTTATTTTTGTGCATAGTGAGAGATAATGGGTCTTGCTTAAGAAAAAGAACACCTCACTTCAAGGACAAGGTTGGAAGGATGCATATTCAGGAAGGGGGCATTCAGGTCAGTTCTAGCTCAGGGCCCTTCAGTCCCCGTTCTGCACGGTGTCTTGAGCAACAGGGACTTACCTTCACCTCTGCGGGCAGCCAAGTCCAGCAGCAATAGGCTGTACGCTCTGGGAGTGTCTTGGACAGCCCTGGCCAACCTTTCAAAGGAGGAATGCCCATGCCTGCTACTAGGGTGTTTGTCGGCTGGTCTTTGTCTCTCGGAGCCATCAGTCCAGATGAGGAAAGTAACTACATACGTAGATTTCTACGTGGATTTAAATGTATACCAGGGTTTTCTAGTAAACAGTTAATGGTATGACTCCTTGTGGCTTTTCCACAGACATCTTGTCGTTATTTTACCCACCTCGCTCCCCATCCTAACTCCTCTTCCCATCTCCCTGTCCGATCATTTCTATCCTGCTATTCTTCCCTCTTGCATGGTAAGTGCTTAACCACTGAGCCATCTTTCTTGCCCCACTGTGGAAAGTTCTATTGAGGATCTCTGTGTCTACGGTCCTCAAGAAAATGTGGCCCCCAGTTTTCTTTGTTCTTATCTCATTTGGATATCAATATAATCATGGAATGATTTTGTTCAAGTTCCTTTCATGGAGCAGTTAGAGGGATATTAGAAGTTAGTTCTTTAAAAGTTTGGTAGAATTCGGTGGTGAATGCACTCACTCCTGGGCTCTTCTATGTTAGCAGGCTTTTTGTTTGTTTGTTTGTTTGTTTGTTTTGTTTTGTTTTTTCAAGATAGGGTTTCTCCATGTAGTTTGCCTGTCCTGGATTTCTCTCTGAAGACCAGGCTGGCCTTGAAATCACTGA